CTATCTTTCAGCATTTCACGACTTTCTTTTAGACAGAATCCCATCAAGAAAATCTTTGGAATGATACTGTGGGAGCACCAGATTTCAAAGGGGCCTGCAGGGAGGATGTCTCTGAATATCTGTGTGAGGGGCGCTGTGCAGCGGCAATCTGGGTGGAAAAAAGGCTTAAAGGGCCGGCTCGGGACTTGAACTTGTGTGCTAGAAACACTTCTTATCATTTCTGTGCCGTGTGCATCACTGCTCTAGACCGGCCCTATCCGGTGTGGTAACCTCTGGCCATAGGTAACCTTTAAGCTCTTGAAATGTGGTTAGTCCAAACTAGGGTGTCTTCTCATTTTAATGATATTTTTTCATTTATGTAGAAGCTTTTTAGTTTGATGTAGTCCCGTGAGTTTATTTTAGCTTTTGTTTCCCTGGCCATTGGAGTTGAGTCCCCAAAGACACCATGAAGCCAATGTCATGGAGTTTTTCTCCTATGTTTTCTTCTATGTATTTTATGATTTCAGCTCTTGTATTCGCATCTTTAATCCATGTTGAATTATTTTTTGTGCATAGTGTGAGAGAGGGGGCTAGTCTCATTCTTTTACATGTTGCTGTCCAATTTTCCCAAAACCATTGTTGAATAGACTTTCTTTCTCCATTGTGTGTTTTCTATTCCTATGTCATAAATCAGCTGCCAATGTAAGTATGGGTTTATTTCTGGGCTCTCAATTCTATTCCATTGATCTATGTGTCTATTTTTATTCCTTAGGTTGCGGGTTCCTGATTAAACCTGATTTCCTGCCACCAACTCTCGTGTCTCGAGTTTGGGCTTTTGAGCAGAGGTAGACCCTGACTCAGACGATGGTCCCGGGCAGTTGTTGGGAACACGTCTGCAGAGGCAGACAGCGATGAAAGCTGAAGATAAAAATTTGAGCATCATCATTTTTTTATAACTGCTTAAAATATATGTGATCTCTTTGCTAAAGTGTTCCTGTCCTTTAGTGTAATTACATTTGCTCCATAAGATATGCTGAAGACATTTTTACTGTTTCATTACTGATAATGGTAGGATTCTGGACCACGATACACCCAGGAAGCAATTGAGTATCTGCAGCAGAGAGGACAGCTGAAGGATATATCACTTAGTGGACTCAGAAGCGCTCTGTGCTTGGGGAATCATAGTGAGTAGGTCGTCTTTACACCACAGAAAAGGGCCCATAATTAAGAGCAGTTTTACATCACAACAAAACTGGGCAGAAAGCACAGAGTTCTCATGTATCCCATCTGCTCACACACAGTCTCCCCACTATCAACATTCTGCACGACGGAGTTATAAATGATAAATCAATATTGACACAATGATCACCCAAATCCTTATTTGTTTTGCTTTTTAAAAATCACAACTTGGGTCTTAATGTGAATTTGAGCAGAGTCCTCCAGGTCTCTTCTTGCCATGCCTGGCAGGGAGCTGGCTCACCCAGAATGTGGAGCCGCACCCATGGGAGATCTCCATACAGAGTCGGTTACCCTTTTGCACTGCCATTTCAATTGGCCAGTAGTCCAACCGCATTTACACACAGTGGAAATCGCCTGCCCCTCCCTACAATGGCTTGTAGATAGTCAGATCATTCCTTTTTCTGGGCTGAGCATGCACATCGGGAGGGCCTGGAAAGCCCTTGGCAGGAGAACAACCTACTAGTTCCTGAGCTTTGGAGCTAACCAGGCCATTTCCTCAATTGGGGGACCCCCCCAGAGTCATCATTGCTTACCCTTCTTTTTCTACAAGTGCATGCAGCGTTGCATGGAGGAAGTGTGACTTTTTGTTACAATAGGAGCAAGTGTCACTTGCTCCTGGGATGCTTGACCCTGATGAGTCAAGTGCAGGTGTGTCTGGTCCAAGCGCACCTCTCTAACAAGACCCCAAGGATCGCCCTCCTCCTGCAAATTGCCTCTGATGTTTACACTGTATAGCACCAGGGGTAAGTATATGTTTGTCTCTTCTGCATGACTTTAACAAACACAAATGTTCTCAGCCTTCCAGAACTGTAAAAGGGGTTTTAGTGAAAAGGAAAGCAAAAAGCTATTTTCCATCCTGAGAGCCCCAGGACAGACAAGATTGAATTTACCTCTAGCCCACAGACAGCTGTAGTTCTCAGCAATTTAGTTTAGTCACATGGAATCCAACTGCCCCTATCACTCAGTTCTCTTCCTTTGAAGATTGGACCCACACTGGTTTTATTTTTCATCTTTTCATGCTCTCTGGTCTTTTGTAACATTTAAAGTAGTAACCTGTGGTTTGGGGAGGCCATTAGCCAATTCAGTCCCCTTAACAGCATCCACCTGCTGAGCTGTTGTGCTCTTGTCTTCGAGGGGCCTCTGACCTGGTTTGAATCAGTAGCTATTTGGACAAGGCTTTCTGTTGTGACCCAACTGTTTAAACATTAAACATGTATTCTTGGTCAAATAGGAGGAAAAAGCAAAGTTGTTCCTATCTCTGCTGTTATGGTTGCTTTCACATTCATTTGCCTTGCCCAACACATGCACTTAATAATAGCTAACTTTTATTAGTTCCCTCTTATTGCATGGGCTGGCTTGTGCCCCCCGCCTCCAAATCTCAGTATAACTCAAAATGGGGTTGTATTTGGAGATAGGGCCATTAAATAGGAATTAAGGTTAAATGGGATCACATGGATGGGGTTTAACCCAGTATGAGTTATGTCCCCATAAGAAGGAGGGTGGGGCCTCCCCCGGTGGCGCAGCGGTTGAGCACTGGGCTGTGAGGCTGCCCGCAGCCTCTGCAGCACTAGTTCATTCCCCGGCCGCTGGCGAGAGTCCCACAAAAAAGAAGAAGGGGGGTGACACCGAGTAGTATGTGCACAGGGTAAAGGTCATGTGAGACTCAGTGAGCAGGTGGCTCTCTGCAAGTCAAGAAGAGAAGTCTCAGGAGAAACCAACCCATCAACACCTTGACCTTGGGCTTCCAGCCCCCAGAACTGTGAGAGCATAAATTTCTACTGTTTAAACCATCTGGTCTATGGTGTGATGTATGGCGGTCCTAGCAGACTAATACAGCTAGAGCAATGCAATAACTCCTTTTTATGAATTATCTCTCTAATGGTTCTGGTTACCAAATAAGGCAGATATTATTGAGGCAGGAACACACCAGGTTGGTAAAAAGCTAGCGGACTTTCCTTAAAAAAGACCCAGCCACCAGGCCTCCCTGGTGGCACAAAGGGTTAAGTCTTAGCACTATGAAGCTATCACCAGTCACTGCAGCACGAGTTTGATCCCTGGCCAGGGAACTACGCACATGGCGCAGCAGACCTCTCTTGTCTCACCCGCTGCTCCCCTCAGCAGTGTATTTCAGTAGATCCACCTGTTCTGCACCCCACTCTGTCTCTGGTGAATCCTCTCACCCTCCACACCTCTGGCCTATTCCGCAGTTCTTCTACGTAAAAATAAATAAAATCTTTAAAAAGAAAAGACCCAGCTACCCCGCCCAGGCTCACAAGTGCCCCTCACTCCCTTTCCTTCGACAGACATATATGCAAGGCCTGTTAGGTGCTCAGGGCCGGGCTCTAGGCCCGGTCTATGACTGTGTATCCATCTTTCCTCACATGCTCTTTGATAAACCAGGCAGATGGCTGGCTGGGAAATGTGGACTTAATCATTCTCTTGAATACTTAGAGCCCTAAATTCAAGTTTTCTATGACAATACTGTTAGGGTGGGTGCCGCGTGCCAGGGAGGTGGGTCAGTTGTGGAGCGTGCAAGAGGGGCGGGCAGCGGGGCGCTCTCCTTGAGCGAAGCTTCCTGCTCAGGCCTCACCTCCGGGTCCCTGCCTCTGCCTTCGGAAGTCTCTGTGTGTCTCAAGGAAGTTCATGCTTTTGTTGCCTTTCTCTGAATTTGACAGTACAGGGTCACGGGGGAGACCGTGAGGCAAGGTCCTAAATTTAGGGTGAGAGAACTTGATACCGAACCCAGCAGTTCTTTCCCAGAAGCAGAAAGGTAGAACGAAGGGCAAGGAACGCAGAAACCCGACCAGCAGAAGAAAATCCCAAGAGCTCCTGGTTGCCCCAAGTGGCATTTTGGTTTTCTGGGCTGAGGCAGCCGCCAAGGGCACAGAGGCTAATGCCCATTTTAGGCAACAAACAGTTTTGTTTGCCCCCCTCTTTTCTAGATCCCCTCCTACTCGAAACCAGCTTTTCTTAACCTCAGCACAGCTCATCTGACTAACATTTGATGGGTGGTTCTTTGCTGTGCACTGTGTTGAGCAGACTCAGGGGTTCTATCCACCAGATGCCAGTAGCACCCCCACCTCTGAGTGGCGGCAACTAAAATTGCCTCCAGATGTTTCCAAATGTCCCCTGGGAAGGGAGTGCAGCATCCCCCCAGGCTGAGTCCCACTGCTCCAGCTGAGGTCTTGGTCTGTGCAGGGTAGAAAGTGCAGCCCTCCACCTGTGTTGCCCTAATGCCACCTCTAGTGCTCTCTTACGCCATCTGAGGATGGACGTCATCTGAGAAATAAAGAAGGTGCTCAGATCATCCGGAACATCAGGAAAATTTATGTAAAAGTTATGATAATTTCTCACATTTCTTTAGCATTTGTCAGGTGGGGAAGATGCCAAGGCACTTCTGGAAGCTTCATAAAGAAAAGTGAACCACTTTACCCATCACTAAAATGTAGCTACCCCTGGCTTGTGAAATGACAGCTCATCAACAGCTTCTTACAGCATCCTGCACAGTTTAATTTGTGTTTTTTAGAATGTGGTTTTTTATTTATTTATTTTTTAATTTTCTAGAGGCATGTCTTATTTATTTATTTATTATTTGTTTTGTTTTGTTTTTTGGTTTATACATGCACTGGGTACAGTCAGAAGCACGGGAGGGTGAGAGAATTCACCAGAGCCAGAGCGGGGAGCAGAGCAGGCAGAAGGACCGAAGTACACTGCTGAGGGGAGCAGCGGGCGGCAGGAGAGGTCTGCGCGCCATGTGGGACCCTCCCCCGTGGCCGGGAGCAGCCGGGGATCGAACCGGCGCCGCAGAGGCCGTGGGTAGCTTCGCAACCCAGCGCTCAACCGCTGCACCACCGGGGAGGCCCAAATGTGTTTTTTTTCAAATGTATCGCAATAGAAACTTTCTAGGAACTTCCTGAAAGCAACATAACAGCAATAAAACTTAGGATTCGGCGACCAGGGAGATGTGATATCCCCTCCCACCCCACACTCCTGGTGGGTCAGGGAAGTCCCTGAGATATGGGGACATACTTGTTTGGGTATCATTTTACTTAGCAGTCTTAACACAATTCTGTAGTTTAAATGAATCCTTTCGTCCAGCATTTAATATATGTCTTTGAAGACAGATATGTCTTGTTCATACTGGAGTCTTCTGTGGGTTGCTTTTGGCTTCCTGATGCATCTTGATCTTATTTGTTTACTCCAGGCTTCTAGACATGAATTCACTTGCCCCCAGAAATATAAAACTAGGTCATATGCTGCGGTGAAATAGTTCTGCAGATTCCTGGGATTCTGAAAATAACAATAATGAGATACCCGTTAACAACCATTGGCAAACATAACTGTGATATAAAACATTGCTGAGAACTGAGCATCCCTGATGCTGAATGGGTGCATCTCCTATTCAGAAATGGATTTGTTTTTCCATATTTTGTGGTGCTGTAGCAAGGCCCCACGGCACCAAGTTGAGGAGAAGCGATGAGTCTCTCCTTAACAGAGGAGGTGATCATCGCAGCAAACACGAATGGAGAGTGACTAATGGGCAGGCTCCTGGATAGAATTCGAAGGCGACTTCTGTCTGAGTGCCCCCCAGGGAATGTGTGTGACCTAAAATATCATCATCAGTTAGAACATATGTCTCAAGTCGTGATCCATTCATGTATTTGAAGAAATTGATTTGATTGAAGGCTATCCCTTAGACTGCCGAGAGCAGGTAGCAGGGCTGTGGTTAACGGGTAGCAGCATATGACACCTGCCTACTGCACGTGGCCAGCTGCTGTTAGGTGGACATCATGGCTTTTATTTTTTATTTTTTAGAAAAGGCTTACCTTAGGGAATATAAGGTAAAGGTGAATATAAGGTAAAGGTGATAAGCTGTATATTATAGGTCAGATTATCTAATTGCAGTTTATTAAAATCTCATTTACAGTGTTGTGGGGAATCAGAAAGAAGACAAGCTTCCTTCTTCAACTAGCGAGAACCCCTCAAGGGAGAGCTTCCTCAGAGAAATCCTCTTCCACTGACAGCAGTGAAGGCTGGAAATGATGGCAAACTGGCTGGATTCCTCACAAAGAATCCTTTCTGTGCCCTGTGCGGTAGGAGGTGTTTGGAGGACAGGAGAAGGAAAAACAGGTCTACAGATCTCTGCCTGCCTCTGAAGACACTTAATATTCTATGTAAGGAATATCTGTGCCTCAGATAACGTAAGATGCTGTCAGTTATGCATGCATGCCAAAGGGGTGAGACATGAAAGTGTCATCAAGAGAAGGTGCTAGAAGCTAGAAGGCACTTGAAACAGATGAAGGGGGTGTGGCCTCGAGTTGCCACAGAGCAGAGGTTTCCAGGAAGGGGCAGCAAGGCCAGGCAGCAGTAGCAGGTAGTTGAGGGAAGCTGGGCGTGGGGGCAGGACCGGTTAGCAAGCTGTGACCCCACAGCTGGGGACTTTGAATTTGTGATACTAGGGCCCAGAGTCACGTTAGGTCCTGGAGCAAAGTAAATGCTGCCATAAGTTGCTCTGGAATAATTTTCTGGCATTTTGCTTTCTATCACCTGAAACAGGGAGAGGAAGGAGCAAGTTCAAAAGGTTCGAGAGCCCACCTGAGTGTGAGATGAGATGGATTAGGGACAGTCTGAGTGACAACATGGGAATAGACTACAGAGTTCAGTGACAAATGACAGGAAGGACAAGGGGGAACAAAAATAGCTGAGTGACGTGGTGATATTGACTGGAACCTGATGAGCTCCGTTGTATTCAAATTCCACATGCAGAATATTCAGAAATCGGAGCCAGCGTCCTGACGAGAGAGTCCAGGTCTCTGCAGGAGGACGGGCGGCTGAGTCACCCGTCAAGGCCTGGACATGGGCTTTGGAGGGGACAAGCAGGAGGTCACTTAAGTGAGTGGTTATGAGCCTGTCACGGTGCTTCATGAGTGATAGAGAAATCCACAGTAACGTGTCAGGGCTAAGCATCTCTTTCTCGTCAGTAGGATATTTTTGCCTTCATGGATGATTCAGTAAATGAAAATGTGTTAGAATTTACACAGATATTTGAACTATATAGAGTCATTTTCCTGTAAGTCTGTCGATGGTGTCTATACTCAAATAACAAGGCTTGCGCCTCTCACACCACCAGTGGAGATGGTGCCAGCAGCCCCTGAATTATTAACGTTTTCCGAGGTTCATGCCAGAGGCTGTTTGGCTCTTGTTAGGATCGAGTGCCAGGCAGGAGGCGGGGTCTGCGAGTCTCAGAAAACCCCGTGACACTGGACATCAACTCAGAGTGAGGCCACCACGTCATTATAAAGTAGAAAGTAGCATTTTCTCTACTGGAGATTCGAGGTGAGGTCACCTGCCCACGCTCAGATGGTGACTGTCCCTGTCTCTAAGAAGAAACCCTCCCCGGTACATACTTCAGATGAAATAAAGTTTCTACCATTAACAAACCCTTTAGGCAAACAACCCTCCAGGCTAAGAATGTGTAATCCATCATGAAGAGGTCACAGGCATGAGAGCTTATGACTGTGAGAGACGGAATGATCTCATGGAAAGAAGAGCAAAGCAAGAGCCCTTTTAATTAAAGACCCTTTTAATTATGCTGCATTAGATCTGCTTAATAGAGCTTCCACCTGATTCTCGGGGTGTGCATGCAGCCCCCGTCCCTGAAGCTGACTGTCTTATGCTGAATTGCATAAATTTTAATAAATTCTTGTCTGGCACTTGCAGGATTAACATCTCCATCATCCCTATTTCTCAAAGGACCCAAGAGTCCCGTACCAACAGGATACAGGCACACATAGAGAACCCCCACCCCATGCTGGATCCATCTCACCTGTCACATCAATGACTTAGCATGTTTCTGTGTGGCCATGGAGCATTATTTTAGCATCAGGTAAGGACAGAAAGGCAGGATCACCCAGATGATGGCGAAGAAAGAAGCGCCACTCTGGGGAGCCTTGGAGTTCAGCAGCTGGAGGTGACTGCGCCTTTTAATCTCAGACTCTGTAAAGGGAGAAATAATGTTAATTCCAACTGCTGCTATGATCAAGGCTTCAGGGAGGCTCTAGATCTCGCTGCCCCCAGTACATAATATATCTGCTAAAGAAATCAGATCTTAACTCATATTTTCTTCTCACCCCAGGAAGCCCTCACAGGGTGGGGAGGAACCCACCTGTCACTTTGATATCTCCGGTGGCTTTGGCAATGTCGTTCTCGATCATGCAGGAGTATGTGTTGTTGATGGTGACATTGTAGAGTACTGACACCACCTTCATGGTCACGTTCTCAGAGTTCAGTTCAAAGCTGGTGTTGGAGACTTCTGAGAAGTTGGCTCCCTGGTCCACCTGAGATGCCCAGACCACTGTAGGCTGGGGGAACCAGCGGGGAGCCTCACAGCGCAAGCTCTCAGAGCTGGCATTGTAGTCCACGTTCACCTCTGGGATGCTGAAGGCTACGGGGTTGAAGGTCATGAAGGGCAGATGTTATTTCTTACAAATTGAGCCTTTGCAGCGACCCAGTATTTCCCCAGTGGGTTGTCTGCTCCTCTCAAATGCCAAATTCTCCATGGGGGCTCACCCATGCATTTGGCTGTGATCTCTTGCTTCCTCTGAATCCCCAGGTCACTGTACTTAGATCTGTCTAAGCCTTTGATGTACTTTACCAGTTATTTATAGATATTTATATATTTTTCTTTTCCCTGTCCTAACCTCAACTCTATAAGCTCTAGACCATGAGTTCTACAAGAACAAGGACAATCATCTTTGTCTTCTCAATCATATTTTTACTCTTCCCACTATCAATCTCAGTCCTTGTATGTACATTCAGAAAAAAATGTGTTAAATTGAATCGGTAAGGACGTGTGGGTTTCACTAGAGAGGATTAGTGAGGGTACAGGACGAGTTGTTTCGGTTCGTTCCCTTTGACTTTCTCCTAAAATAAGTTCTACTGTCATGAGTCCCTGGAGGGGCTCATATCAGAGTTGGGTTAGATTGACTTAGCATAGAAAACTCCCTGATGGATGACATGGTTCTCTTAACTGCTACCAGAGAAAAGATTACATTTATTTTGACAAAACAGTTCAGGGAATACCGTTGAAAATTTAGAAGAAGTTAGAATCCAGAAAGAAAGGTTTTAAGACCTGCTATTATACTGGGCTACTTTGGTGTTGGTGTGGGTTCTGGATCACAAGGGTGGCTGCTAGCAGAATTTGGGGGCCTTTTTCTGACATTGGTCATGCATACACGAGCAGGTAGCGTGTGTCAGCAGTGGTCCATGCCCTCCCTTTAGTCTCAAGTACCTTGTGACACTTTCTTTCCCGCTTTCCAAATGTAACTCACCTCCAGTTTTATACTCAAGGTTGGCATTCCCCTTGCCTTTAGAGGTGATGATGTGACATTTATAGGTGCCAGCATCTGTGAGTTGCACGTTTTTCAGCCTCAGAGAGGCATTGCCAACTACCACCTGGTCAGCAAACACTGCTGTCCGGCCCCGGAACATTTCATCCTGGTCTGACAGGTCATCTTTGCCTTCTTTGAACTCATGGACCAGGCCCAGAACACCTTCCTTCAGCCACTGTATCGCGATATCAGAAAGTTTGATGTCAGGTTCAAAAGTGCAGCTCAGGATTCCATCCTCCCCGATGTTCCCAGCTGAGGTGAGAGTAGTGACTGTGATGGAGTGTCTTCCTGCAATTCAGGGAGCAAGGGTCAATGCCAAGGGGAGCCTCAGAACTTCTGCCGTCAACCCCTTGGTTACTAAAAGCCAGAGACTTCTGTAGTAAATTGGAAATAAAGGAGAATAGGAGATGCATAAAAAGAAGATAACTTATATAAGAAGGAAAGAAAGAGCAAGAAGACACAACAGATTTGTCAAACATATTCATTTTTCAAGACCGGTTCCCTAAATCTTGAGAGACCTCAAGAAGAGGACATACTGGACCTGGAGTTTGAAGGGGAGCATTTAAGTCCTAGCCGTGTCACTTGATAGCTGTGTGAACTTGGAAAGTCATGTAACCTCTCTGGACTCAGAAAAATGAGTCTTACCTTGAAAGGTTCTTGTGAGGACATGATCAGATGGCTGTGAGCTTTATTTGTAAACTGTAATCACAAGGTATTATTTAAGATATTATTATTATTATTATATTATAATCATTTAAGGTATTATTCTTGGTTAACCAGAGGTGGCATAGAAGAGAAACCTAATGTTAACTAACTGTTGCTGGTAATTCTGAAGAATGCTAAACTCTAAAGTGCTGCTACTTTTATCTCCACTTGAATGATGACGAAACCAAGGCTTAGAGAGCAGATAAGTGATTTGGTGAAAGTGACAGTGCTAACAATGGCATAATGAAGAATCGTACTTAATTAAACTGAGTTGATTTCTCCCTCAGATAGAAGTCAGCCCCCCTTCTCCAAACATCCCTCCTGTGGAAATATTACTTATGGTGCCAGCAGGGCCACGGCCTCTCCCCACTTACTCAGCCAGTAGCCCCTTCAGTCTGTGAAGGACTGACCAGCTATTCCTTCTGCACTGGAGGCTGCAGAGTGGGGATGCCCAAAGGGGCGATCACATTAGCTGAATCTTCGTCAGTGGCTCCTTCTCTGGTTTGGATGTGAAGCTAAGGAGAGGACAGGTCTTAGAGCTCAAGAGGAGAGTGGATAGACACGAAGAAGTGTGAGGGACAGACCTTGAGAAAGAGGATTCCTCTTCCAATCTCTGAGTGTGTTTTCAACAAACACCTCCCATTAAACAGTCTGCACAAACCACTCCTTGCAGCCCCAAAGCCCAGTATGATGAGTCTCAGCTTCCTTCTAAGATGAAAGTTGGCCTTCTATCTTGAAGTGTTCCTGCTTCTCAAATTTGCCTCCATCCAACCCATTTCCCATGCATTCAGCTTTCAGGTTGGTCTTAAAGTCCATCTGAACATGTTCTTTTTCTAATTGGCAACCTTCTAGGTCTCCCAAGGGCTGGGGAGTAATGTTCGATTAACCAACGTGGCCTTCAAAGCTAAACACTGCCCGGCACATAGTAAATGTCCCATAGATAATAGCTCTCATTGCAACCTCTGCAGCCTCATTTACTGCATCCTTTCACAGCGATTTACTGATTTTCTGCTTTCATGGGAAAAGATGTAAGCAAAACATACTTGCTATTTTTTCAAATGTAAGAGATAAGCATTATGAAGGCAAAGGGTAATCCTTATCTTTAGAGAGTCCTGGCATCTGGCCTTCAAGGTTGGAGCTGGCTAGTGGGTCCTAGGCCTTCATAAAGCAGATGATGATAATGGATGAGAGACAGAGCTAGGTGGATTTATATTAGAGAGAGAAAAAATTCTAGGGCAAATAGAGACAGCGGAAAAAAAAAAAAAAAACATGTTGGGCTGGGAGGACATTTTGGAGACTTCATCATGAGGAAGAAGACAAAGTTTGGAGTCGCTGCCACACATGGCCATTGATGCAGGAGATTCGGTAGGGAAATGATGAAAGATTAATATGAAGTGTTGCTGCTGAATATAAATGCAACATAGCCTGTCCTCTGCCTTGGCATTTTCTTGAACACTGTTTTAAATATTTGATTTGCCTTTCAATGATTTTTACTTGACAGGCTGATATCTAAGACATCCCAGGTCATGGAGATTATACAATTATACTATGCATCTTCAACTCCTTGTTCATCTTGCACCTACAATTTATAGTTCCCTCCTCTCCTTTATCACCAGTTATCCAAATCCCACTTCCACTCAAGGCTGTTCAGATGGCAGTCCTTGCATGAAACCTTTTTTGATCTGCCAAGGCAAAATTAATAGATGCTTTCTTTACTCCCCCTTAACACAGTCCTTCACTTTCATTACAGCGGCTGTCTTCCTCTTCCTTGTCTTAGTCAATCTCAGACACTAATTTGTAAGCTCTTCAAGGGCAGAAACTGTCTTAAACATATTTGTAAGTCCTATAAAGCTGTGATGGCTAATTTTAGATGTCAGCTTGACTGGGCCCAGGGTGCCCGGACATTTGACCAATCGCTGTTCCGGTATTGCAGTGAGGACGTTTCTGGGTGAGATGAACATTTGAATCAGCAGACCACGCAAAGCAGATTGCACTCCCTCAGGTGTGTGGCATCATCCAATCAGTGGGAGCCCTCCATAGAACAAAGAAGCTGAGTAAGAGGGACCCCTGCATAAGAGGAAGGTGGCGCTCAAGACCAACTCCATGGTGGAGGGTGGAGCTTTCCAGACTCCACCCCCTAATAGTCTGCCAGAGTGATGGAGAATAGGGACCAGGCTTGGGCTTTGTGAGTTAATTGGCTGTGGAGTTGTGGTGCTGTGGAGAAGCTGCCAGTTTGCCACATGTGGCTTTGGCTTGGACACCGTTTCTGCTCAGTGGACACTATCTGGGGTAGGACAGAAGGCATCTGGCCATGAGCACGCCAGCAATTTCTCTCTTTCTTCCTCCACTAGCTCTCCATTTTCTCACTCCCTGTGTAAATGAATCCTATCATTGTTGTTTCTCCCCGGGGGTCTGGTTTTGAGTGGTAACCTGTAGATGTAAGTGTACAGGTGAGGACCCGCCAACTGGGTCAACTCGGCTGCCCCCGGTTAGCCCTGCTGCACTGCTCCCTGATGGCTTTGAGCTGGGACATCAGTCTTTTCCTGCCTTCAGATTCAAATGGCAGCATTGCTTCTTCTTAGGTGTTGGGCCTGCTGGCTCTGGGGCTCTCCTGGTTCTCAGATCTTTGGACTCAGACTGGAACTAAGCCATTGACCCTCGCGGGTGGGTCTTTAGCTTGCTGACTGCAGACGTTGGGACTTTTCAACCTCCAGATTCATGTGAGTCAGTTCCTTTGTTTCTCTGGAGAACACGGATTAATACAGTTTTGCTACTTGGAGTGGGGTGCTGCTGTAATAAATACCTGTGCAGGTGGGAGACTTTGGAACAGGGTGAAGACTTTTGAGATGCACATTAGAAACATGGATGTTAAGGGTGATTCTGGTGGAATGTCAGGCAGAAATGAGGACTATGTAATGGGAAAGGCAACTGTTGTTATAAAGTAGTGAAGAATACGGTTGAACTAGTGTTTTGTGGAATGTTTAGCTTGTAAATGGATATTTAATTGAGATTTCTAAGAGCAGGGTGTTGTTGAAGGAGTGACTTGGTTATTCTTGAATGCTTTATAGTAAAATGTGGGGAAGGTAAGAGATGCATTGAAGGAGGGATTGTTAAGCAAAAGGGAATCATGACTTAAGGGTTTGGAAAACCACGCCTATCCATATTGCAAACAAATGAAAAAGTTCTGAAGAGAACATGAAGGATATGTTTGAACAGCCACTTAATAAGGAGATTGTAGGTGCAAGCTATGGACTTAATCAGCATCCTCAGGAGAGGCCAGGATAGATGGGCCAGATCAGCAGAAACACTGCCAGCTGGGGACAGAAAAGTGAAAAGTAAACAGTGAAGAGAGGAAGGTTGTCAGACTTCTTAGAGCTTCTAGGACTGGACCATAGAGTTACTCAGTTATGAATTCAGAAAAGGGTAGAAAATGATCCTGGAGATGATTCAGAGACCACCAGGGCTGTCTCCTGGGTTTCAGAGCGAGATGGGGGAGGGCAAGTCATCACCTCTGTTTTAAGTAGCCAGAGGATCTCTGATGGAAGCTTTAGACTGGGGGCCACCTGAAACTGAGGGGGGGGGGATTTCTAGCCTCCAGAACTGTGAGAAAATTAATTTCTGTTATGTAAGCATCTGGGTTGTTATAGTAGCCTAAGAAAACTAAGAGAAGTGCCTATTAGTATGTTACTACAGTGAATGAATAAATGAATGAATGAATGGAAATCAGTAGAAAACAAGGCACTGTTTGAGATGATGGTTTTAGACAAATGATTGTGGGACTAAGTAGTGTTTGGCAGGAGCACCACCTCTCAATTCTGTGGAAATGTGAATCCTGGAAAAGGAAAGCAGTGAAAATACAGAGAAATTCTCAATAAAATCATGCAGAAAATGTAACTGTGTTAAAGCAAGGGTAAATTGGATTGTAGTTTATAAAGTGCCATTAAAGTTGAATTGAAAAATTACTTTTCTGAAAAAAAGTACATGATTAACACAGTTTATGGAGAGAATGAAATGGTAATGACATATCTTAGTTCAGTAATTGTGCTACTAAATTAATTTTAATGCGTTGGCCTCGAGCCCACAGGTAGGGAATTTGTTGAAATATCTCTTCGAGAACCTGATGATTTAAAGTAGGCAGCTGTGGAGTGCCCTGGGGGCCCTCTGCAGGCTTTCGCCCATTTAAGACTGTGTTAAAGAAGTGGCAGATGGAGTGAGTGTAATGTCAATTAAGCCCCCTCCTCCACATCAATTAAAAGGAGAAATAAAAGTCAGCGAGAGTGTAAACCATGAACCTAGCTATTGCTTTGCACCCAGAAGACAACAAATATTTATTTGTTAGGTAACTAAGTGATGGTTAAAAGTGACAACATGACATTTAATTTGCAAGCAGCAACACATAAATATTGCTCCTCACAAAAAAAAATGTGCATTCAAACTTGCAAACAGATATTGGCCATGGAGCTCAGTTGTAGGAAAAGGTCTGCCTGATGTCTCTCCAGGTCTGTTAGCCACCAGGGGCTCTTGTGTGAGTTGGCGAGTGGAGGACAAGAGGGCTTGAGGAGATGGGTCAGGGGCAGCTCTCT